AAAGGTGAATATGCATGTCACACCTGTTCTACACATTTTTACATAATAGCAGTGAAGGGATGTTCCTTTGTCTACCTGAGGAACTGTATATTTTGTCCGCTTTCTTTGTCAGCCATGTTGATAGTGTCTGTTAGTCTTCTTGCCCCATTCACACTACAAAAATCATTGTTTATTTATAAAATTATTATAGCTGTACGAAAAGTAATGTTCTTTTTCTAGTCTGAACATTATTTACTGAAATGTTGGCGTAACGTACGTTAAAAGAGCGTAGTAATAATAATAATATTCTGTGTTTATATAGCGCTCAATACATCGATCCGACGATGTGCCTAAGCGCTTTACAGATATATTATTACCCCGGTCATCGTATTCAGGCTTACCCGCACACAATGTATGCACATTTTCCACTCACTGGGGAGCATTCCAGCCAGTCGCCATTTTACAAGCGCACACTTGTTCGTTCAACCACATGAACGTTTGCATCCTACTGGGTACCCATTTAACATATCAGAGATTTCAGCTTCATTTCCAAATGAAAGCGCATTAAAGGATTAGGGTCCTGTTCTAGTGTAAAGTGTTCCTCTATTTTACAGATGTTTACATTATTGACAATCCACCGGAAATCATGGATAGAGTACCAAATGACCTTGTATATTTTGTGATACAACAAGGAGATCAACATGGGACTATGTTAAACACATTTCTTTCCAATTTCCTTGTTGCTGCTAAATCTGTACACATAAGCTTTAACAAGTAACCATTAAAAAAATGATTGATGACTAAAAGATGACAAGCCTTGCATAATGTGGAGCGTCACTTTTGCTCTTTATAATCCTCGCCTCAAGAATTCATTCTATTTTACGAAAATACCCCCTCCCCTCCCTTCCACTCCCCTCCCCTCCCCTCCCCTCCCCTCCCCTCCCCTCCCCTCCCCTCCCCTCCCCTCCCCTCCCCTCCCCTCCCCTCCCCTCCCCTCCCCTCCCCTCCCCTCCCCTCCCCTCCCCTCCCCTCCCCTCCCCTCCCCTCCCCTCCCCTCCCCTCCCCTCCCCTCCCCTCCCCTCCCCTCCCCTCCCCTCCCCTCCCCTCCCCCCCTCCCCTCCCCTCCCCTCCCCTCCCCTCCCCTCCCCTCCCCTCCCTTCAGATTAACAGACTAAGAGCTGTTCATCTTGCTTCCAATTCTATTGCATGCCCCATTTAATCGTAAGCAGAATTCCCTCACACATGGCTTGCAGTGTGAGAATCGCACATCTGCCGTTTTTTCTTCTTCAGACGATGCAGAAAAGAACACAGCTTGTTTATGATTGAAAAATAGAGCAGCCGCATAGAAGATGCATGTCATATGACCTCTCTTTCACACTACCGAGATTCAGTGCATGGCTATATGAAAATCAACATACCATCATTAATTAAATATTTTTAGTCTGAACACCGCATAACGAAACGTATGATGAAACGTTTGTTTGAGCATCGTTTGAAACGAAAACTCGGTAAAAAAACTCAAGGTCCTGTACTCGTCTGAACATCGCATTGTATGAAAATAGAATAAGTGGGTGGGGCTTATCGTTAGTGCGCGCTGCTGATTGGACAGCTGTCATGTCAAGTTGTCAACTGATCACTCTTCAAAGCTAGTTTCTTTATACAATGTTATTTTCCAGGCTGTATATATGTCCCTATCGCTACATGTATATAGCAGAGATACCAAGTATCACGCATTAGGCGTGACATCACGCATTTCGAGGGTCTGAAAATGCTCTTGCGCACAATGCGCGTGCTAGATTTTGAAAAAACGCTATACCTTATACGTGTGTTATACCCTCGCACAATCATTAAAATGTCACGCATTGCCGATCTTTGAACTTGGCGTCTCTGATATGGTGGTTCCTGTGATACAATTAACATTTCTTGAAACAAGTTTCATACAAATCAGCTGTAGTGTGAACAGGCTATATGCTGTATACAAGCATGTGTGTGTAGAAAACGTGAATGTACTGTAGTGTAATGGTGCAGAATGAAGTAGAATTTGATTGGATTTGGAAGAGAGAATTTGCTCGCAGGAAATTGAAAAACATTTTTGCTGTACAGTATGCTAACAGCCAAAAGTTATGCCTTTTTGTGCTGTCTACATATGATGTAGAACAACAGTGGTACAGCTGCATATTCATTCATTGAATATATGAAATAAACTAAAAGGTCCACTATATGTGTATTGAAATCAGAGCACTGTTTAAACAAATTGCTTATCATCAAATGCAATGATTTCAGTAGCTTATAACAATCATTGTATCTTGTTATTGATTACAATTTGATGAAACATGGCCCTGATTGCTAAGCCTGTGTCTGTAGCTCGAAATCCATATTGCATTTTTCTATTGTGTTGGGATATTTATATGCAATACCAGTAAAACTGTGTGTGTAAAAATCACACAAAAATTATAACTGTATGTACAGTATACATGAGCAAAATGTGTAGAATACAATGTATATGATTTCCTAATGCAATGGTAATGTAATGCAACTTTATCATGATGCATAATTCAAGCTTATCCATGTACATATATACCCACAAATATATGTGTTTGATATTTATATGCAATACCAGTAAAACTGTGCGTGTAAAAATCACACAAAAATTATAACTATGTACAGTACATGAGCAAAATGTGTAGAATACAATGTATATGATTTCCTAATGCAATGGTAATGTAATGCAACTTGATGACGATGCATGATTCAAGCTTATCCATGTACATATATACCCACAAATTGGTAATATACTGCATTTTTCTATTGTGTTTGATATTTATATGCAATACCAGTAAAACTGTGTGTAATAATCACACAAAAATGATACAGTACAGTACATGAACAAAATGTGTGGAATACAATGTATATGATTTCCTAATGTAATGGTAATGTAATGCAACTTGATGACGATGCATGACTTATGCTTATCCATGTAATACCCACACATTGTTGATTACTGTTGCATATTTAATTAAACAAATTATTCATGCTGGATGATTTCAAGGATTCGAGTTTACACTTGAAGGAGAAAGCATTGTTGATTAATATTGTGGTTTCAGGGGGTGTTTGTATTCTCAAAATGTGTTTACATAGCTACAATGCATGTAGATGATTGATTGGTTGATTTCTTTTTGTGTAGGCCAAATACAAGTTTAGTAACTTAGAAACTGTGTTGAGAATATCACTCATGTGTGTCATTAAATAATCATTGAGCATTTTATAAAACCATACAATTGTCTATTCCAACAATTTGGAGGTGTATAAAGTCACCTATATACTTCTGTAGCTGCTGAAGCCCAAACACTCAATATAAAATGCTCATCATGACATTCATGTATCACACCCCTGTTTCTATTTTTTTAAAAGGCATTTGTTTATGCGATGATGTTCTGTAATCTGTACGCTACTTTCGCCAAGTAATGATTCTTTATATGATAATTTGTATATACATGTAGACTTTGCATACATTTTCTGTAGTCTCAACCCGGGGGGGGGGGGGGGGGGGGGGGGGATACTCAGATTTGGTTAAGACGAGGGGTATGCCGCTCAAGCCTCGAAACCCCTACCCATTATGAGGGGTCATTTGGGGGCATTTTTCTCCAATAAAAATCCCATTTTTTACAAATTTCTGGTGTTTTGGGGTGTTCGCATGACAAGCACCCGAAAATTTTGCAAAATTTGAAAGAACGAACCCATTTTTAATGGTATTTGTGTTAAAAGTGGAACCTTGTTTAGGGATATTTTGTTAAAAAGTGACCCATTAGAGCGGCACACCCCCAACATGTGAGTAACCCCCCCCCCCCCCTTGGGTCTCAACAGGCTATTAGCTGTGTGTGTGTGAATAAATCCTGTGTCTTTCATAGAAAGGTCTCCATGAATGTATTTCGGAAATCTCAATAAAACACCCTCTACATTTTATATAATAAATGCTTTCAGTTCAATGGCCTTGCGAATTAACGCTGCAAAGTAGCCGATACTTTCATCAAATTAATGTCCATTTGTTTATTTGCACTTTTAATTAGATTACGGAAAATGAGCTATTTGATGACCTATGCACATTGTAACAGGAGAACAGTTGTTTTGACTTATGTTACAAAATAGGGACTCACAAATACAAACCCAACTGTCAAGAACTTTGATTTAATCTAGCAGTTGCCAAAAATGTCATTCGATTCTCCCCAAACTTTGAAGCGCTGCCCGTATGAATTACGGCAGCATTACATATATCACTGCATCTCACTCCTGGAGTAATCTTACTTCATTCTTATTAATCACGGAAAAAGTCAGAAGCTAATTTAGTAGAGCTCATCGGCTGTTTACGCCATAAATAAACATCATGGACTTACCACACTGATTATACCCTGTGGAAATAATGATATACTGTTGATATAAAGTGGATTTTTAAGCCTTGTGAATTAATTTATTTGTGGAGCAATTATTTTTGAACAAGGATTTTTATCCAAGATTTATTCAAGATGATTTTCTTTTACAACATGTGGGATTGCTTATGCATTGAAGGTGAGAAAATGTGCCTATTTGGTTTGCATGAGCTTCATCAGACATAGCAGTGTCTCAGAAGATAGGAAGATACGATTACCAGCGATTCCTATCATTTCAACAGACTTTAATTTACAAATCTCTCCATTTTTGATTCACTTGAGTAAAAATGTAGAGTAAATGCTTCTTGTACTGAATAATTGGGGGGAGCACTGTGGACTAGAGATGAAGACTGTGGACTCTCATACAAAATGTCCTAGGTTCAAACCTTGCTCTGTGCTATTGAACAAGGTATTTTACCCACATCTGCCCCTCTTGACTCAGGTGTAATAATGATTGCAGGGCTTACTGAAAGAGCATTATTCATACTGATGTAGCTATACTCTAGGTAAATCAGACAAAATCTATATGGTGATAGATGAGTAACCTTAGTTCTTAATATTCAAATAATATATTTTCCTCTTTTCCTCATATTTCAGACTTTGACATGGACATGTCGGATGAGATCCTGATCACCGACATCATCGACCAGCTCAACCACCGGGTGGCATTCATCACAGGTTAGTGTGATTGTCAGTTTACTTATTCAATTTGAGTATATTTCTTTTTTTTCTCTTTGTGATCTGTTTCCAAAGACATAAACCAATTACAACATAATTGTGATAATAAACAAATTATGTAATTAATACATCGTCAACGTAAAATGCTTACATTGTAGGACTATAATCATGAAGAAGGATTGTCACATCAGCTAAGCTTGAATGCGTGGTAATCGTTTATAAAACTTTATAATTCCGATATGCAAAAATGATGTTGGGGATGGGATGCAAAAGATTTATGAGAAGATGACAGGAGGAGATGGTAGATATAAGAGCGATAAAAGTTGATATGGCTGTGCTGAAGAGATAAAGAGAATTGGGCAGAAGGCAGAAGTGAGGTATGAAAGAGCGGGGTGCAGATTTAGAGGGAGGGTGGAGGGATAGAGAGGGAAAGAGAGACAGAGAGACTTTTGTTACTTATTTTTAAAATAGATCAGTGATACATCATCTGAGCAACAGAGTATTACTTTGATTAGCCTATTTGAGACTCTCCTTACTTGAAGGGACTGCTGGTGTGGCCAGCTGTCAACAATTATCTGTTGATACCTGAAATTGGTTTTGTTTGCAATTGTGCAATGTATACCCCCAAAATGGCCATTCGTTTATCTTTATGACGATATTATCAAAATGATAATTACATGTTTTCCTAATGCTTACATGGACTAATCACCACAAAATACTTCTGAAACTCTCATGATAACCACGAACGAACGGTAAATTTGTGCAGAAAATTAATTGTTTTGCAGTATGCTTCACATGCTGTCCAATAGTGTAACAACTAGGCCCAAATGCTCCCTAGGGAGTGGTGTGTGTGCACTATTTTGTGTGGATGAGCAACTAAATCCATTGGCTGGGGTAATAATTATGTTAAAGCACTTAGAAAAATATTATGCTCTATTCAAATGTGACTGTTATTATTATTACTATTATAAATATAACTGGTGCTATAACTTATGCATATTATCAAATCCTGTTAACACAGCAATAATAAAGTGATCAGACACATAAATGAATTTAAGAGTCTGAAAGTTGAACTCTGTGTCGTACAATATAAAACAGATGGTCAAAATGATTTGTAGGTAATGTTTACACTCTTCAAATCATAGAGCAGATATAATATGTTATGCTTCTCACTTTTATATTTGAATAATAAAAACTCCTTTTGCAGCCACAAGGGCGTTCACTCTGTGTTAACTCTTTCAGGACAGGATTTATTTCTAGGGCTAAATCAATTACCTTTTGTTAATTCAAATTGGCAACAATAATATTTTCTTTTATGGCTACATTGTTGAAACGAAATGCAATGTCTCTGTTAAACAATAAATATTGGCAAGAATCTTATCGAAAAAGATGAAAACTGGATATTTTGACAGAAAAACAATGATTTTGAATCTCTCAACATGTTTCCAATTGAAGGATTTTAATGTATATTTCCTTTTATTTTTTTAATTTCTGGCATCAAACATAATATAGTCGTGAAACCAAACATATGGGCTCTGAAATAAACTTGATTGAGCCAAACTACAAAATGTGGAATTATTTTTCACGAAAGTGTTAATGTGTATGAATTACTGCTGTGATATCATTCTATCAGGACGGGATTTATTTCTAGGGCTAAATTGATCAACTTTTGTTCTTCAAATTGGCAACAATTACATTTTCTTTCATTGCTACATTTTTAAAATAAAATGTAATGTCTCTGAACACAATAAAAATTGGCAAGAATCCTATCGAAAAGTTGAAAACTGGTAAAATCTGATAGAAAAACAATGATTTTGAATCTCTCAACATGTTTCCAATTGAAGGATTTTAATGTGTATTTCCTTTCTTTTTTTTAATTCCTGGCATCAAACATAATAGTCATAAAACAAAAAAAATGATTTTTTTTTTTTTTTTTTTTTTTTTTTTTTTTTTTTTTTTTTTTTTTTTAATTGCCCTTTCTTCTTATGCATCTAAGGGCTCTGAATCCAACAAGATTGAGCCAAACTACAAAATGTGGAATGATTTTTTTGTCAAAAGGGTTTATTGTGTATGAATTAACGCCCTTCTGGCTTCAAACAAGGGAAATATGAAGTGCAAAGTTAATGACTTACGTACGTACCCAAGTATGATGGATGGGTGGATAAACATCTAGAGTGATGTGTGTCAGAACTTCAGGCAATCGAGCGGTTGTGTAAATTTTGTGGTATTTTTGATATTGTCTGACGTCACCAGTGATGTTGTCCTTTGACTTCCATGTAATGCACATGTATGTTTAATAATAGGTTATGGTGGGTTTAAAAATTTCACTTCATCAGACTAAAATCATTGATAAATACGAGAGGGAAGAAATGGTTGAAGCTCAGGATGCTTAAAAATCAAAGGAGTATAGGTTAATAATGAATATGATTTACAACATAATGCAGTTAACCAATTTTTATTTGTAAATTATTGAAATAATTGTAAGAAGTTTTGCTGATTTAAGCATTACAATTATGGAATTTTTATCATAAATCTTTTTATTTGTAAAAACCTTATTATCAATTTTTGATTGGCACTGTTATAAACAGCATTAAAAAATGTAATCAAAATTTTTTTTTTTTAATAAAAAATTAAGATTAATGAAAGCAACTTATAGTTTTTATTTTTTAAATTTAGTAGATGCTAAAACAAAAAAGACAGTCTTGAACAAATAAAATGCTTCTGTCCACACTTCTATAATGAAAATTTAAATTCCATGTTGTTGACTTTTCAGGTTCAGCTGTTTTAGCTGTAGACAATATTGATATTTCTCAGGAATCTACAAATTTTATGAGATAACTTAGTTGAAGGTTAGTTTATATAATGTTCTGTTTTGGCAAAATTGATGTATAATCCTTAATCCTCCATATAGCCAGATAGGATTAACTTGATATTCAAACATGGGTATGAATATGACATCAGTCTTGCGATCAGCTGATTTTGTATCCTTGATCCAAACTAATAGGCCTAGGTCGTCTCTATGCAGATTAAATTTTCTGGGGAGGAAAAGTTGTCTAAACTCAAATCCTCTGTTGAGAGCCAGAAGGGTGTTTACTCTGTAATTAATGCCCTTCTGGGCAAGCGACTTGAAAACTACTTTTCTAATTATTAGCATTTAAAGATTTATTTTATATTTAAACTGCTTTCCGTCCCGAAAAATTGGTTTAAAACTTAAAAGACTAATAGAAATGTTATAGCAGAACACGGCACAATTTTTTCTCAGAAATAAGTCAGTTTTATAAAAGTTTGAGGCGATTTAGTGCTAACGCCCTTCTGCTTAACGCTTTATTTTTTACCTGAAATTCGAGCTAACGCCCCTCTGCCAGCCAGGCGACGAAATGTCAAAACTCTTAAAACATTCACTCCAACACAGAAGAAAGCAGAAAAATCATAGCATAAAGGTAAAGTTTGAATGAAATCAGACAAAATCAGACATCTCTGAAATCACCAGAGATGGAAATTATATTTCCATTAGCTTTCATTTTGGATGTAAATTAAAAAAATAATGCTATTAGCCTCAGGGCAAGACTAGAATCCATAAGCTGAAGAAATTGTTTGTTTTTAGTCCAAGCTGTACAATCTGGCGTCAGGTCCCTGAAAAAACAAATGAAATGTCTGCCTAATTAAACAAAAGGCCTGCTGCTGTACATTTACATTGTTGTGAAAAGTCCCTATCAATTGCAAGTGAAAGTGATTGCTAAACGTCATATATTTTTTTCTCTAGTAGAGTGGGAGTGCCTAATTACTTAAATTTCCTGATTTATAAATATTTATGAATTAGAAATACCAGAATGTGTGCTCTTAAATATCTGCATTACCTAGACAAATGTACATGGACAAAGTTGAAAAAAAATGCAATATGAATTCATTCATTTATTCATTTATTCATTTATTCATTAATTCATTTATTCATTTATTCATTCATTGATTTATTCATTAATTCATCTGTTTGGAGCCAGAAGGGCATTACTTCAAATATCTGAATACAGAGTTAATGCCTTCCTGCTCCAAAGAGTGATTTATTTAGGTTTTTTTCAGTTAGTGTATGATTAAGATTGCCAACTGTTTTCTGAAAGATCGAGAGAGCTCCCTAAATATCATTTAATATTTATTTGAAGTATTGTAAAACAGGGTTTATTGGAACATTATTATTTATTATTATTATTTATTTGACCAATCGGAAAACACACAGTGAGTATAACAATCAGATAACACATGTAAGAAATATCATAATACATACAAACAGCTTTAGGGAAGTGGAGAGGCGAGAGAGAGAAGGATACAATCTGCTGGTCAGGGGTGACAAAAGCAATTGAAATTGCTATTACTCGAAAGCATGTCACCCCCCACAAAAAAAAGTTTTTTGGGGATATTATTTCTATGAGGAATGATTTTTTTCAATGAAATTTCTTATGCCATTAGGCCCGTCTTCACTATCTCGAGATTGCCAAATATCCAGCTATTTGAACTATCCCGATCGCAAACTATCCAGCCAATTGCGTCTTCATTAGAACGAAGTAGCAAATTAGCTGGATAGTTGGTCGGGATAATATCCCAAGATATCTTGGGATAGTTTGCAAAATATCCTACTATTTGGCAAAATATCCAGCTATTTGTCCCGTGCGTCTTCACTAGACCGAAGATTCGCAATACACGCTAACGCTGAGCAAAATATCTCGAGCTAATTTCTCAAGGTCGAGTTTCAAGTTTCGAGGTCGAATCTCGAGATAGTGAAGACGCGATTTGTTACTTCGGGATTATTTCCCAAATAGCGGGCTATTTGCCCCTATACAAATTTCAGTACGCTAACACGCGAGCTCGTCAGCGTGCTCGCCCACGAGTTCGTCGACGAACTCGCAGACGAACTCGCAGACGAACTCGTTTCGTTCCAAATATGCAAATTAGCTACGAGCATGCACGCGAGCTCGTTGACGAGCTCGTTGGCGTGCTCCAAATATGCA